CTATCCTGCTTAATAAATACACTTCAGATTATATGTCATGGAGTAGGGTGGTGCTGCTTTTGTGGCCTCTCCATCCAAATTTCCCTGTAACAGGCATTTGGAGAAATTTTAATTAATATGATTTTCCTGACTGGGATTGGATCCAGTCCTTAGTAAGAGAATTAGACTTGTAATTGAGCTGGATCTTATCCTACTGCCAGTATACAGCAAAGCACTTTCAAGAAATTTACATTCCCCATAGACCTATTAGGATGAGAAGCAGGGTCCGCTAATAAGGACTGAAACCTAAACTGGCCCAGATCTCATTCCAAAATGCAGTCACTATGGAATGAAAATAAGATTAAATCTTTGCTTACTGTTGAGTGAAATTAGACCTGGATCTTACCCTTTCTGATAAACTAATCTTTCTTTAACTATAAAGGTGATTAAGGGATTTTTTTTTTTTTTTTTACTTAAAGATCCTAAAGAAGAGAGATATAGGTAGTAATTATTAGTTTGAACTAATTAGCTGATGGACTAATGGGAGACTTGCTCTTTTTAATGTTTTGTAACAAATCTTACTAAAATATTCAAAGTACTTTTTTTTAGCAGAAAATGTCAAAAAGCTTTGGACATCTCTGCTTTGCTGCTGTGAGCATGCAAAAGTAAATATCTTTATTTGAGAGTTCAATCACAAAAAAGGATTTAAAAATAAATATCATATTTGCAAGGCTTTGATTCACCTTCACTCAGCAAGCAACTGCTGCTCTTAGAGGTAGCTCCCAGGCATTTATTATTGCCCCTCTTCCAGATGTTACTGCTCAGTAGCAGAAGAGTCGAGTCAGCAAAATGGAGCATGTATGGGTGCCTCAGCTGTTCCAATTTAGCCCAGCAAATTAGCTTTAATCTTTGATTAGGGGACTTGGGCCAAGATGCTGGGCTGAGAATGGGACTTGCTTCAGGGCTAGCATATGTTGAGTTCTTCCATAAGATGGTAATTCCTTACATAGAGACAGTAATGTCTTAAATCACGGCAGAAATCACCAGATTTCTTCTCTCAGAGTCCTCACACTTCAGTGACCGTTGTTTCTGTCACAGTTTGAGGTTACCACCTTATTTTGCAAACTAATTTTCAAATTATTAAGCAGAGCTGAAATAATAGGATTCAAAGATGTTCTGCCTCTCTTTTCAAGTCTGCATAGCTCCTTTTGTACTTCAGCTGCGGCCCGCTGCAAAGAAATCTGCAAAATAAACTTTCTAAGAGGGTTGTCATCTTTCATGTGCCTGCCTCCTCTGTTGGTGCTGCTGCCCACTGAGTTTCCTTTACTCATCTATTCTACCTCCTGGAAATGTGGTTGTCTTACTGTGCTTCCACAACTCCGATGACAAATCAAAACCAAAAGAGTATTAAAAAAAGCATTACGGAAGGTTAGAAAATTATAAGATATTTCTGAAGCATTGATATCAATTCCTCGTCAATACTTTGCATATTCGTAACATAAACAAGTAATTTACAATTGCTATTAGAAGTGTGGAAAAGTATATTCTACAAATGTTTATGGATAGAATAGGGGTATTTTTTGAAAACGCAGCTACATATTAATGTAGTGGCCGTTTAACCCTGACAGTTGCAACTGTTTAGCCTAACAACAACAGCAGGGAGGGAATCAGAGCAGCCCCAAGGGTGATCTGTTGAGGACTTAATAGGGTAGAGCCGTTTTTACAGCCCCGTATAGCGGAGAGTGTAAACTAGCAATAAGTGCATGTTGTGAAAAGCTCATAGGTGTTTCCAGATGGTGTGACTATGGTGGATCTGGAAGTTCTGCTTAATTGTCTGCGTAGGCAGTGAGAGCAAAGAGGAAATCTTGCTGTTAGGGGTGATGTATGTCACTACTGGAAGCTTATCAGATTTTTCCTTCCTGAATTGCTCATGTTTAATCATGGCTTAAACACAGCTGCTGGTTATACTGCAGTGAAGTGTGAGTATTTATTTACTTGTATAATAATAAAATAAGTTAACAATTATGTTAAGGTTAATATAGATATCATTTTATATTTGATATGCACATTAATATATTATTGTATAATCTCTGTTTATTTTATAATAAATAGTTTAATAATCAAATTGCAAATGCATGCTTGAGGTTTTGCAAGTGGGATAACTTCAGGAACACTAGAAGTCGTGAGGAAGAAGGGGTTCCAAAAACTTCTGCTGCGTGTACTGAAGTAAGTGAATCATACATTATTTCAGAGCACTTTTTGCCACAAATGGTCAATGAAGTCTTTTTTTTTAATAGAATAATTAGTTTTAAGCATGTAGAAAATACTTCTGGTCTATTTAATATGTTGAAAATTTTGACACTATTTTGTACTTTTCCCCATTTGTCTACCTACCCTAGGCTATCCAATGCCAGCTCACTTTTTGCACCTTCTAAATAATATTTAGTAATCATTAGGCTCTATCTGAGTTAATTTCTGTAAGTAAAGAGATCAGGTGGTACTCAACAAGCTTTCTTGATACGTGCTTGCATATGGTCCTTAAAGAAACCTGGAAATGTTAGTCCATTCACTTACTGTGTTATTATAAACTACAGGCAGCAGTGGATCACTTTTAGCTTTCTACTTGATCATGGTATTTGTCACTACAATTCCAATATGCAACATAATTCCTATTTCAGTTGATACTACCTTATGATTATAAGTACCCATCCCTAAGTCATGATTATTACAGTTTGGGGTTGTGGTTGGGAGGCCTTATCAATAACCTTCCCTTTCTCCTGTGACTTAAATAAACTTAAGCCCAGGATTTAGCAGTAATTTGCCATTAAGTCTGTGATACATTAAAACCCTTCCTTTTAACTCCAAGACAACATTCAGTTAGTCTCCCAGGTGCAGTGTGCTTTTATTAGGTCTATTAGCTTGCTGTTCACATAGCAACAAGTATTGGGAATGCTCTGTAATATCTTGGTTTGTGACTTGCAGCCAAATAGCAGGTGAGATTGTTGTCTCAGGCTGTCTCTTGTTTACATTGAAATAAGCTCCTTCTGCATTCATTCTAATTTTCTTCTCGGCTCAATCTTTAGTCTCCATTTGCAGAAAAATTGAGTTCCAGTCCTGTAACAGCTGAAGTTCTTCCTATACCTTTGGCTATGTTGCAAGTTATTAGACACGTGTTGCTAAATTAAGGCATCTCTCGTACTCTGAACACATTTTTTCCTCCTGCGTATTTTAAGGTTTCATATCTTCCCAAAGGGCAAGATCTGCTTTGTCCAATGGTAAGCTAATTTTTGCTTGGTGGTGAAGCTTGCTGGTACTTTCTGCTTTATAGTGCTACTGACCTTTTCCTGAATTCTCTGACCTACTTTTTCACACTAGCACTTTTTTTTTGTTTTGGTCGTATTTTTCCAATCCTTTCTTGAGGAAAATACTGGTTTCTGAATGCACTACCAAGGGGGAATCTCTTATATATCATCTCCTCCCATACTCCGTGCTGTGTATATGTTGTGTCCCTGCTTTAGATTTGTATTGACAGCATGAAGAATGAAGGCATCCAGTACGGAAAACATGCCTTTGATGGGAAGACAACTACTGTAATATTCTCAGCTATATTGAGGAAGGAACAGTAAGGTCATTTGAGAAAAAAGAATTAAGTAGAACCAGTAAAATAATTCTGTGAAATGCTTTTCTATTGGAAAATGCTGCCTCAATGAAATACTGTTTGGGAACATTTGCAGAGATGTTCTTGTGGGAACTCCTCCATTTCAATAACATTTTATTTCTGTGGTGGGAGGTGGAGAAAGCCCAGTGGTAAATTTGAAACAGTCTGCTTCTGCATTTTGCTTGAAGCATATAAATTTCTTAAGCTTGAAAGCACTTTCCAAATCTTTCTTTGAATATCTAAAGATGAATCAGTACTGTTACCGAAACTGAGGTGTAGCTTCAAATAACTTGCTCTAAAATTCTCATCTTCAGGTGATTTCAAAATTATTCTATTGTATTCCATTGTATGTAAGAATGGTTAAGCAGACAAATATGTTGTTTAGACATGGAACTGCGTTATGATAAGTGATGGGTAATCTCAGAAGGGCTACTGTTTTGGTTAAGTTCTGATTCTTAAGTAAAGGCTTGCCATGCTCCTCCTAAACCTGCAAAACAGACCAGAAACCTTACATGAACAGGCTCTTGGGAGCTATTCAAAGTACAGTATTAAAAACCAGGTTTGACTTAGAGACAAAAAGTTGCAAAAACCACCCAAAGGAAAGGAAAAGAGCAAGAAAATAGTTAAATCCAAAACATTATATATCAAAGGAAAACCAGTGGAGAACTTTTCACATATCCTAGAATAAATACAAATCTCAAGAAGGTAGAAAATGATTAGTCTTAATACAGAGCACTGATGTTAGCACATCATTTATTTCATAATAACAGAACTTTTGGTTAGAGGATAAATGTTTTAGCAGTGCATGATTTACAGACAAAGACCTTGTAAAAGCCAAGCCAGATTATCAAGAAAATTGAGCAGGAACCTTCCTACACTTAAAGAGAAAAAGGGAAAGAAATATCTGGGAAGGATATTTCTTTGTTATACTGTAAAAGAAAGAAATCCTCAAATTAGGCAAAGGACTGTTTGACAGAGGGGAAAAAAATAACTCTGAAGGAATATGACAAAGCCATTAAGATCTATCTACTCTCACTGATGTGATGTACTGATGGAAACTTCAACCCATACTCCTGCTTTCTATGTAGCAAGGCATTAGCAGTTGTCAGAGAAACAGACAGGAGAGCAGAAACAATTTCAACCAGTTGATAGAGATGACATACCAGTGAAATGCCTAAAAAGAAGGATAAATGTTCCCAGCGACGCTCTATAGAGATTGTTAACTCCAAAACTGTCTTAGTGCTGTGGGAAGAGATTCTAAATGCCTTGCAAAACTGAAGTATAAAATTGAAACTTTCTGCAAGAGAAGTTCTTCTTCTTTTTTTTTTTTTTTTTTTAACCAAGCAGGAAACTGGAATGGATTATTAACATAGGAAGATGACATATTGAAAGGTGTTCAGAGAAAAGCATCAATGAGCAGCAGGTCCAAGACATTGGAAATACAACTAAAAGAGGAATTTGTAACCTTGGCAGGTGAGACCCTTTGTATCTGCATCCATATAAAACAGTATTATCTCAAAGCTGTCATTACAATCGCAGGTCATGTGCGGGTGCTCGCTCCATGACTCTTTCAAGTGCTTATTTTAGTAGCTTGATTTTCTTTTAACCACTCTGATATGTCTGTGGATTTGCATAACTGAAAAAAGGAAGCTTTTGTAACCCTAATCTCTCCTTGGCATGTCCCTTTAGGGCCTTACTTAGAAATGATACTGTGGACAACTCCATGGGAAGTACGCCCGGTGAGTAATGCAACATGGTAAACCTGTTTAGGGAATAGCTGTCCTTTCCCTCCCCACTCCTTAAACTACAATTTCTGAACATTAGTTCATCATTATTTTAAAGATTGGAGTCATATGTATGTGTGGAAAGCTTCTAATAAATATTTCTAGACCAAATATTCATGCTATGTATGCTAGTAGAAAAACCAGAGAGGCAAAATTAAGCTTTAAAACTCTGTCTGCAGTTCTGCAGTACAAGCAGTATCGGAAGGGGGGAGTTACTTACCTGCTTTCTAATATACCACTCAGTAGCCCTAAGACGTGGTGTCAGGGGCTTGGGGGGTGTGCACTGGCATCAAGGATTCCCAAAGGAGATTCCAAACAGTGTTTCATGCCACTTAGAGCCCAGAACAAGGCTGTATAACACAGATGAGCTTTCAGAATTGTGTAAGTTATGCTGTTGAGCAGGAAGAAGACCTGGCTGATTAAAAGGTATGAATGTGGCTCTTAATTTTGCTCGCTCCTATTTCCTCATACAGGAAGCTTTTATGCAGCTCCAGTTAGGTTAGTGCTGCACCTTCCTTACGTATATTTGGAATTTAACACTCATACACTTTTATATTTGAGGTAGTTATTAAATGAACTTCTCTGTGGTCTTATATTGCAAGGCCTAACATCAAATATGGCATCTCCTATAAACAGCATTTTTAGAAAGGGTCAAAAATGTTCAGTTACAGATTCTCCAGATAATAGTATATGTATATATACATATAATATAAAATTGCAGACCAAATTTCGTCTACAGGTTGTTTATTGTGTTGTTATTTTGTTTATTTGTTTTTGTTTTGTTTGTTGTCCTCCCCCACAGCCAGAAAGAAACATTTCTAAGCTCTTTATTCTTTATTTCTTGTTCACTTACCCTATTCAGCTCTTCACTCTTGACTCAGAGCATTGACTTCTGTACCATAGAGAAGGCTAAAAATCTAGCAAACTGAAGGAGTTCTGGTCATGTTTGTTTTAATTAAATAGATGAAAGTTTACAATCCAGTTAGAAGTTTAAGAATTTTCTAAGAAGATAAAGTTCTCAGAATGCCACTGTTGTGTGAGCTTTTAGCTCTGATTATTTATAATAAAGTGATTTGTGCTGAAATCCACCAAGATTTTATGCTAAGACCAGCTCAGTTTATAAGATGTGTATATTTCCTACCTCTGAAAAATCAATATAAACACATCAATCCTGGCAGGTCGTTATCAGTGTTTCACAGAACCTAAAATCAACCTAAAAGATAACCTTCCAAAACTCAGAGGAAAATATACGCTTTCAAATTTACCTGTCAGTCTATCTCAAAGGAGACAAAGCTGGAAAAAAATGTCTTCAAATGTGATAGTCTCCTATGATCCATTTCTAAAATTATGTTTCCCATTGGATAGATCTTTTATCAGAACAAGACAAAGCTTTATGCTGTCTTGTCTGACAGTGAAGCACATATACTTTATACAACTTGCTGTAAGGGTTATCTCATTTAAGTTATTCTGTGATCAGTATCCTGTTTCTCCCATGGGGTTCTTCGAAGGTGGCTAGTACCTAAAATAGAAGAGGTGAAAGTAAAGCATTCAAAACTACTTTTTGACACTCTTCCACATTTCCTCCATCTCTTATCTGTCTTATACATGGGGATCACAATTTTAAACCACCCAGCATCTTCTCCAGGAGAGACCAGTTTGTGCTTCGACACATTCGTGATTTGAGGTACACTTTGTACATACAACTCTTCATTGTACTTCCAAGGTGGAACCAAAAAAGATGCTTTGGGATTATATTCTCCAGGACCTTGGATATCAAACAACATCAGACTGTAAAGAATACTCCAAAATGCATATGAAGTAGGATTTACTGTATGCCCTTGTCCTATCTCCTAGGAAACTACCTCAATATAATATGGAAAAATAAGAAGGCTGTTTATAATTTTGCCCTAGCAGAAGACACTTGCACCTTAATAAAAAAATAAGGATGTTGTCCTTTATTCCTAGGCCACTCTCAGTGGAATAGAGTTGGCTTATTTACTCTGGATATGGGAGTTTGAAAACTGGGATGGAGACGATCGATGCCTTATTGACATGGGCGGGGATGAAGGGAACTGTATTATGTCGCCTCTCTCTGTAATACTAGCGATTCAGAAACCAGAGCCCTTTGTTAACCCTCTGTTCTAGGAGTCTTCCATGGCAACCTCAGAAAACTATTGAAATTTGTATTAGAAAGCGCAACTTTTCTTGGCTGCACTGAAATCAAAATTGCATCCCATGAGGGATATGCAACAGAATTCTGAGCATTTATTTTTGAAAACAATAGTATTTGTTCTACTGATTTCACTTTTTCCTCTTAGTCATGGTTTCAATTATGTTGATTTTCCCTCCTGTATGTCTCTAAATCAGTAATGCGGAGCCACAGCATTTTTACATACAACTTTTCACTGTATCGCCAAGGTGAACTCTGAGAAAGATACATTTTGGGACAAGTTCTTCAGGGCCTTGGTATCCAGGGAACTCAGACTTGGAAGCTATACTACTACTCTTAGCCACTGCAAGGATGGGAGAGAGTTGCTTTTTGTTTGAATCTTCATTGACTTTGTGGCTACTAGTAAACTGTGCCTAGCATGAGGAAAATTTGGAGTAGCTACAAGACCACGCTTCATGCACTGGCAGAGCTTCTCCTACAGGACTTGGGTGGGAACTGGTGGAAAGGCTCTTTGGAGGAGCTGTACAGAGAGGGAAGATTGTGGGAAATCAGTACTTGAGAGCTGTGCTGAAGTGAGTGTTTTCAGATAATATGCCTTTGTGGAAGTGAATCTGAAGCTAATCTTCCCAGAAGGAAAAAGCTTTAACTGATGGTTACCAGTCTTGAATGATGGCTGTAGGATGGGAAGGAGTTTGAGGAGTCCCAAATAATATGCAATGATTTGCAATGCTCTAGAAGCATTAACGAGTCTTAAATTAATGAGAAATACGCATGTGTTAACAGCATCAGCTCTTTAGGCTTTCAGTTCCAATTGAAACTGCCTTCAGGACTTTAAAAAGCCTTCACTCTAGAGTACAGCGCCACGTTATAGGAACTTTTGGACATGTTTGACATTCACTACCGTAAATTTTCCAGTCTAGATGAAGGATATGGATGGTGCACTGGATAAATACCTCCACAGCCTCACCTTTACAGGGAGTGTGGAATTTACTTATTTTATCATTAGAATAAGACCAAAATAACTGAAAATCAAGCTGGAAGTAACTCAAGACCCTCTTTTGTAAAAACAAAGCAATCACATTTGCGTTATCTTTTGCAGCACACGATTTATGAAAAAAAATTTTTTGACCTTATCGTCTTTACTCCACCCTAGTGTCTTCAGTTTTCTGTTCATCTCATGGTTATTGATACGAGATAAAATTAGCAGATTTTTAATACCCATTAGCTGCTAAAATTTGAAATCCTCTATGGCACAAAGCAAAATAAAGTTTTGGAGCCTTAATTTTCTTCTCCGTGCTAGTGTTTCTGGCAATCCCATGTGACCTGTTAGCATGATGAATAAACATGCAGTGAATTGGTTCATTAGGGTGGAACTATAGATCTCTCCTGATGTTTCCTTTATTCCTTGAAAAAGAAGTTTCATTGTTTCTATATATTTGGCTCTTACAGCTGTGATGTTGCAAAGCAAAACAAAATGCCTTACAACAAAACGCTTCTGCTTATAGAAAATGCAAAAATAGAAAGCAGAAAAGATAAATGTAATGCAAATTGAATGCTTTATCTTGCTGATTGCCACGCATATTTACTTGGAAGGGAATTCTTTCATAAGTTGTGAAGTTACAAGGACTTGTCGGAAATATGTTCTCATCAAAATCACAACTTAATATTTAAAGATTAAAGAGGAGTGCTACAGTTCAATATTAGTTCTACAATAGAATCAGGCACAATAGTGCTATTTCTTTGTACTATCTACCACTCCTCATCTGAAGCTGTCTAAAACATTTTAGTCAATTAGGCTTCATTGCACATTTACAATGTTAAAGTTTGCTCTAGCCATTGGGCAGATGGAGCAATGTTATTGACAGACATTAACATGCCCTTGCCTGAGCTTTCACTGACAATATCCCCTTTATTTTAGTGGGCTTTTTCATGAGGCATGTTCTGTGACATTGCTTGCCTTTGAATTTAAAGTAATGTTTTTATGTTGTTTTACAGTGTTAATGGATTACTGTGATCTTAGTTATTTTTATTTATGTAGTGCCTAGACATCCCAGTTATGAAAATCCCACTGCTTGATCCATGGTGACAGTAACTAGCTATCTCAGACAGCTTACTTGTTCAATTAGACAGAGTAAGTTTATGAAATAGGAAAAGAAATTAAAATAAAAACAAAAACACCCAAACCAAACAGATTATAGAAAGGAAATGCGTAAATCTGAAGTGACCTAAAAGGTTATCTGTGTAGCTTGAGCCCAAAGCAAGTGCCATTATTCCTTGATGAGTGTCCTCACCAGAAGATCACACAGGTAGATTCCAGTCTTTTTAGTAATGCTCCAAACTAAACATTTGCCAAACACAAGCACCAAGTGTGTAATTTTTGGAACTCATAAGCATAAATGATGTTAGAAGATTATTTTTTGTAAGTACCAATGAGGACAGAATGTGTCTGCACTCCTTTTCTTTCCCCCTGGATGAAAAGAAAGTGGGTTTGACTTTCAAATTCCCCTGAGTGGAATAACCCAACACAATAGTAACAATGTTTTTTACCAGTTATTTATGTAGGACTTTGATTCGAACAGGGATACTTGATTTGCTGCCAAAAATGCCAGATGCATATCCATGGTAAGGCACATAACATCGCTGACAGCAGTATACCTGTGCAGTTAAAGTGCATATGAATACATCTTTTGAGCCCCAGTTTCTGGATTTCAATGCTCTTCAAATTGTTCTGCAGAAATATATTTCCTAAAATGACTATGGCAGTCTGCTTAAAAATGCTGCAGTT